TAGATGACAAAAAGATCCTAAAACCACCTAAACGACTCAATACGGGGGAAAAGAATGGGAAAAAGACAACAAAAAATGTAACAAAAATGGGACAAACACCAGGCTGAGAGGTAGAAGGAGGAATGGTTGAAGAGGGAGCAGAAGTGGGTTGAGGAGAAATGGCTTCGTCCACCTCTGGCTCGTCTAACTCACCAAGGGCAGGTCGACGATGGCGGAGAGGAATGTTGTCCATAGTGTCCCCGGAATTGGAAGAAGCGACACGGGCAGTAAAAACGATGGTGGGGACGGTCTCGTCGGGGCAAAGAATCGAGAGAGGAACAGCCTCAAGTGCAGAGGGTAAAATCTGAACTGAACCAGAGGAAGTGGTCGAAGAGGGAGATGGAGGTGCAGGATCTGGAAAAAGAAAAACAAAAACGAAATCAAAAAAGTAAAAAACTTTCGAGAAAGGCGAAACTTCAGATAATTAGGGCTTTACAAGGAGGATAATTTTGAAAAATTAGAGAAGGAGAACAGGGATTTCAGAAGATTTTCGAAGAGAGAGGACAAAATTCACAAACGATTGACAAGCGAATACCGACGCCCAACATACAAATTCAAAATACTCAATCAGCAAACTTCAAACACCCAATTCAAGAAATTCAAAGCGCAAAATCTCAGATACATGAAACATAAATCAGATGAGAAGCAACTTACTCATAATCGCAGATGAGAGATTTGGAAGAACTCGAAGATAGCAGGAGAAATTGCCGAAAAAGATTAGGGTTCTTGCAAAAGGGGTGTTTGAGCACAGGAGAGTTCGAAATTGCAAAGGTGGAAAAACCGAGAAAATTCGCTAAGTACTGAATTTATACTTGGAGAGTTGAAGAGTTGAGAGAGGAGAGTCGTTAGATTAAAAATAGATCCAACGGTGGAAAGCGTTAACTCACACGGAACTCAAAGTCGGCGCGTTATGCGAGAAGACGCTATCATTAAATTGACTGACAAATGCGGCAGACGCGACGCGTGGCAGAAAAGCAGGCGCGGCAGAAAGGACATGTGACAGGCGACCTTATCTCTGGCAATTAATGAAGTATTATTTGGAAAAATAAGCGGGAAATCCATCAGATGGTCGACATCAGACACCATGCTATCCAGGAGGTCGATAGGCACAAATTCACTCTTAGATCGAGTCATTCAGACTCGACCAGAGTGGGGGGGACTAGATGATATAGGATATTATACCCACAAGGCTAAACCGGTCTATTAACCGGTCGAGGAAGTCGTATTATGAGGAAGTCGAGGAAATCCAACAGTTAACCAGTCGACCAGCAAAGCCGTCAACCAAACTATCCTTCGACCAGATGAACGATCGAGCAGTTCAGTCGGCCTCGACAGGTCGACCACTTTGAGGACTTAACACTACACTGATCGGCCTAGTCACAGGCGCGTGAGAGAGCCTTTAACCGAATTTCAGGAGAATATTTACCCCATGTGCAGGGGGACACGTGTCGAGAATGCAGTGGTTGATAGCAATAACCACCTCTGACAACCCACCCCATGTGCAGGAGGACATGCGTCCAAACGGTATTGGTGCAGGTGATAGTGGCGACGGCTACCTCTGACACACGCATATTGTGTGTACGGACGGGCAGTTAGTGCAGACAGCTCACCAAATCCGGGCAGCCCTAGGTCAGGTATCTCACCCCTATAAAAAGGGGGTGAGCCTTTCTTCTTCAACACAATCATTCTATTACTTACTCTTGAGAGTTGATTGAATGATCGTGTTCAAGAAGAAAGGCTCACCCCCTTTTTATAGGGGTGAGATACCTGACCTAGGGTTGTCCGGATTTGGTGAGCTGTCTGCCCTAACTGCCCGTCCGTACACACAATACGCGTGTGTCAGAGGTAGCCGTCGCCACTATCGCCTGCACCAATACCGTTTGGACGCGTGTCCTCCTGCACATGGGGTGGGTTGTCAGAGGTGGTTATTGCTATCAACCACTGCATTCTCGACACGTGTCCCCCTGCACATGGGGTAAATATTCTCCTGAAATTCGGTTGAAGGCTCTCTCACGCGCCTGTGACTAGGTTGATCAGTGTAGTGTTAAGTCCTCAAAGTGATCAACCTGTCGAGGCCGACTGAACTGCTCGATCGTTCATCTGGTCGAGGGATAGTTTGGTCGACGGCTTTGCTGGTCGACTGGTTAACTGCTCGATTTCCTCGACTTCCTCATAATACGACTTCCTCGACCGGTCAATAGACCGGTTTAGCCTTGTGGGTATAATATCCTATATCAGAGTATAACTAATAGTTAACAGTACCATGAGTAAGACAGATTAAAATGACAAATAAAATTGTCATTTTTAAATACTAAATTTTGAATGAATTTGTCATATAATGTTATTTTGCAACGAAAATTGACAATGTCATAAGTAGAGTATATTTTAGTAAAAAATAAAATTTGTCATTATTAATTGTTAAATTTTGACGAATTCGTCATACTATATGTACATTTGTAGTAAAATTAAGAGTGTCATGAATAAGGTACTTTTTAGTGACGAAAATAAATTTTGTCATTAATAAATATGAAATTATGAAAAAATGTCACTCATCAGAAAATATATTTGTTGTAAAATATGTAATTTAGTAACAACAATATATGATGTCACAAATAGAATATTTTTCAATGGCGAATATAAAATTTGTCATTATTGCATACCAAATTAAGACGAATTATTCTTCGTCACGCAACATATTGTCATAAAATGTGTTATTTAGTGACGAAAGTAAATATTGTCATAAAATATAATTTATTTGTTGACAAAAATAAAATTTGTCATTATTACCTAACAAATTATGACAAAATTTAATTCGTGAAAAAAGAAAATTGTCACAAAATATAGAATTTCTTGTAGTGCGCTTGACCCCTGCCGCCGCCACGCGCCGTCCAAGTCCGTTGAGGTTGTTGATTTCCACCACCTTCAGTAGATTGAAATATTCTTCATAGGGATGCTCCTGGTTCTCCTCGAACTATAAGTTCTCGTGGATTTCCTCAATAAAGTAAAAGATGAGTTGGACCGTCTCGGGCTCAACGTCATCGTGAAGACCAACATCCTGGTATACTGTTTGTCTTGTCGTCGGCAGTGGAGGTCTACTCGAAGAAGATTCGGCTATATTTTTTTCGTTTAGTGATGGCCGATCATCGGCACGACCACCACGACCTCTACCACGAGAACTCGACATTTTATAACAAGAATAGTTTAAAATAAGAAAAAAAAAAAAAAAAAAAAAAAA